TCACTTTTATGTTTCATGAGATAGACATAACAATAATTTTAACTATCATCTATCAAATTGATGAAATACTGTTTCTCATTTCTAGTTACCACACCATCATATTCGCAAATATCAGAGTGAATTAGATCAAGTGGTTATGATTCTCTTAAAACTTATTTATGTGGTGCTTTTGTTTTCTTTGCTTGACTGCAAAATTCACACTTCTCAAAGTTATTTTAGTAAAAGTTCTCGAGTTTGCCCTATGTTACTCATTTGTTTGACCAGTCCTTTGTTTACATGACAAAGTCTTGCATGCCAAACATAAAATGAACACAACATGTAAGCAGAAGAAGCAATTTATGCATAGCATCAACATTCAATATAAACATTCCATCAGTAGCATACCTCTTTCCCACGAAAACACCATTCTTCGTGAGAGTACATATGTCAGCCCCAATTATTTGAGTGAATCCAATTTTGTTGATTAGATAGCCAGAGACAAGGTTCTATCTTATTTTTGGAACATGCAGCACCTCTTTCAGAATGATATATGGTCTTACCTGAAGTGAATTTTAGCACAACTTCACCAATTCCAGCAGCATTAGTTGAGTGAGAATCACCCAACAAAACTTTTCTATCTGCAGCCTCAGAATAGGACTGGAAAAGTCCACGGTCATAGCAAGCCATGGTGTAAGGCACCAGTGTCGACCCACCACCCCTTGGGTCCATCAACTAAGTTGACCTTAGACATCATAGTAACAAGCTATTCCTCAATTAGGTTTGCCTGAGGAGCAACCAAACGCTTGTTGTGATAGTTTTGAGCTAAATGCCCATGTTTGTCACAATTGCAGCACAATAATGGTTCAGTTGTTTCATCTCATGAGGGGGTATCCTCCTATTCTAATTTCTCTGAGGATTATGTACTTTCAAGGAGTTTTTGTTGTTGTTGCTGTAAGTTATGGAGGAATTCTTCATGTTCGGACTAGTGGGTTTGAGCACCACAGCAGCATGACTCTTGTTATAAGCCTTCTTCAGGTTGCTGTTGTTCGAAACAACCAGCATTTCTTCCCTCATGTCTTGCTTACTGGTTTCTTCCTCAATTCGAATGTGGGTGATCAGGCTTTGAAGTGAAAATTCATTAGTTTTGTGACGCAGGTCCTTCTTGAAGTCCTTCCAACTAGGTGGCACCTTATCAATGAGCACATCAACCTAAAATTGTTCATCCAGGTTCATGCCTTTAGGGACGATCTCGTGGGCAATCTTCTGCAGCTCGTGTGATCAGGCTCTACAGTGAAAATTCCTTGGTCTTGTGATGCAAGTCCTTATTAAATTTATTCCAACTAGGTAGCAGCTTGTCAATGACCACATTAACCTGAAATTGTTCATCCAAATTCATGCTTTCAGAGACCATCTCATGAGCAACCTTTACATAGCGGCTGACAAAAAAAAATTTTGCATCTGCTTCTTTAGTATCATATTTCTTCTAGAGTGTCCCTCAATTCCTTAGCAGTCTTATAGGAAGAATAATAGTCTTACATATTATCGCATAAATCATTCAAGAGGTATTTCTCGCAAAGAAAATCATTGTCAGTCCATGTTTGGTTCAACTTGAATTGTTCAGCATTGGGTTGATTAGGGAGTAATGACATTTTAGACGTGCTGTTAGTGGCAATTTTCTTGGTGGTTAAGAAAAACAACACATTTTGCCTCCAACGTTTGAAGTGAAATCCTTCAAACTTGGTGGATTTATTGTGATCATTGACGACAGAGTTGGTTTTAACATCCATGGCAAATGAAACATCTTAAGATTGTTGAAGCACAATAAAAACAAGAAATGAAGTAACTAGTGAGTCAAGAACAGTCAAACAAAATTTTTGGGGTTGAGTACCTAACAATGTCGTTCTGTTTAAGACGTTTTACAGCTCTGCCCAAGTTGTGCAAACAATCTAAATGCCACGCCGTCCCCAGGAAGAAACAGCCCAGAACCACCTTTGTCTAGACCCTCCTTTGCACTGAGGAAGATCCGAAAACTAACACCTTCTATGTTGCTCAAAAAACTCAATAAAAGTGATGTATACTAGTTAACCTTTTTTTCTTATTCCTGGAAGCTTTATCAAACTCTAGTATTTACAGAGAAGGATTGAGTTTAACGTTGGAAGAGTTGAGAAAAGATGGCCAAAGAATTAGCAACTTATCACGTAGTTGAGAAAGACTAGGTCTTTTCCTTTATCTTCAAAACAAATTCTACTTAGCAGAAAAGAAGTGGTCATCCATAAAATAGGAGAAAACATTCTTTAATTTAAAAATATAAAAACATGAATTTTAAATAAACAAACCGTTTTAATAATAACTAGTATAGTACTAAATTTGGAAGTGAGAGATCTTAGGTTCGAATCTCATGAATGGCGAATTCGATACCAAATTTGGTTACCCATTATGTATCTTAGCCAAACTCTCCCTTCCTGTTTTGGAAAAATATTGATGTACTAAAAAAAATAGTAACTAGTACAATAATTTAGAGAATGAGGAGTTTCGAACCCTAGACGTATCTATCTGGTAAAATATTGGACTTTATGCATGTAATTTAACTTAATCTAATTACGGAAAAACAAATTCAAACTTGATTTATAAGAGATAGCCTATTAACTCTATTTATTATGATTATGCTCATATTTGCAATCATCTTCCACTTTTAAATTATTTGTTTGTGATTACAAAAGAGTGCAAGACGACCATCAATAATAACTCTTCATTTATTTAAACTATTAGAAAGTCTTCAATCAACATTACATCCATGTCATTTTTATAACTATTTTTTTCATCTTATGTTAATAATCTGTTAAATTCCTTATGATTTATTAGGTATTTGTTTGTTGGGATTTAACAGATTAGCATCAAGACCATTTAGAAGTTGGTTATCTAATCTCGTTGACCTCTACCATTTGTTAGGCTCGCCAAACACTATCAAGTTTTAATATGTTACAAGCCGTTGTGTACACAAACTAAGCAAGCAGTTTGATTTTAATTAAAAAATCATAAACTAAAGAATAATATAATGAATAATAGTTAATCGTATGTAATGTTAGGTCAATTACCTAACTTTGGGAGAAAGATCTATATAATTTAAGAAATAGATTCTATGTACGTATGTAGAGATTTTTTTTGTTTTTTTGTTTTTTTTAAATATTTTAGTTGATGGGGGTGTCTCCAAAAACGAACCCACTCAATACTGTATATGGTTTTGGCTTGTTAGCCAAAATGCTCATTGAGATTAGTATAATTTTTTGTTTTGGTTCTTAAGATTTAAAATCGATGGAAGTGGAACCTGAGTTGGTCTATCATTAATCATTTTAGTTATTTTGTGCAAAATCTTCATTAAATAAGAATAAAACGACAAAAACACTCGATTTTTGTCAAATTACTTTGGATCATTGTTTATTAAACTATTTTTTTCATTTAAGTTTTTATTTAACAGAAATTTTCATGAATGACCAAAATAATTGATTGTGAACCAACTCAAGGACATTTTCAATCAATTTCAAATCTCAGAAACCAAAGCGAGTAGTTATGCAAATTTTAGAGACTATTTTTGCCAAAAAGTCTATTTTTTTGGGTGTTTTTTGCTCACCACTATATTTATTATTATTTGATAAGTTTTTTTTTTTAATTTGTGTCGCTCTCACACATATCTTAAAATTTAAATTTATTTAATAATAATAAATATAGTGATAAGTATTATCACTACTAAATCGTGAGCAAGTTTTTGTTTCTTTTTCTTCTTCAGTGGACGACCTGCTGTGGTCCCGCCCAATTATATAATAAGAAGTCCGCTGTGGACCGTGGTCCACCCAATATTGTACATCACTTTCTTATTTTCAATAGCAAGGGGCAAATATTAAAATTTCCTGCTTTTAAAGTATGTGGCCTTTTCTTTAAAAAAACAAATAAATAAACAGAAGAAGGAGATGTGAACACGTGTGCACATGAGGCTTACAATGGTGGCAGGAACCTTTGAGAATAAGAGTAGGATTCTCTTTCCTCCACTTTCCATCCCCTTTCATTTATTTCTCTCACATTCTTTATTTTGTCTTTCACTTTTTATAAAAAAAATTAATATAAAATGTTGACGTAGTTTAACCTGATCGTTTAAATAGAAAGAGAAAAAAAAAGGAAAAAAAAAAAAAAAAAAGAGAAAAGAATCCTACTCCTTCAGAAGGCCATGTCCTCCTACCCCTACCCCTATCCCTACACACCGAGGAAAGTGGGAATAGGGTTTCGGGGAAGTGGCCGAACAGCCCTGTGGGCCATGGCTGTTCTCAGGTAGGACTCTTGAGAAGGGGTAAACCTGGAAACTGAAAAGGGAGATCTCCGGGTCCTGGATGACCTAGCCGCTAGGTCTTTTAATTGAATACAAGATTAGGACTTGATTACAAATCCCCCATGACATGTACATTTAAAATAATGGACATCGGCCACGTGTAAGCAGATGGTGACAACAAAGGGACGCGCCCTCTTCAACAAGGAACAAATGTTGTCAAAGTTGAATTATATTGCAAATCACAAGAGTGGGACCCACCGTATAATAATCTCAAAATGAAGCTCTTCCAACTTTTCCGCTTTGCCGACAAATTACAGTTCCAGAGTCATTTTCTGTTCGAGACCAAAAATTGTGCTCAACTCTACTTTTAAAGAGTAATATCAGACAGACTATAATTTATAAAATGTCGTACTCAGTGCACAAGGCTCCCGCTTTACGCAGGATCTGAAAAAAATGAATGTCGGCTAACCTTACCCTTATTTATGAAAAGGTTGCTCCCAAGTCTCGAACCCGAGACCTACCGCTCATAAGCGAAAGTGCTTGCCATCGCATCAAGTGCGACCTCTTAGACAGACTATAATTTATAAGTAGCTAAAAATACATTGCTCAAGTTAAATTCAACAAGGCAACTATGCAGTGTGTGTGTGTGCGCCTATTTATTTTTGTTCCTCCCATCACATGTCATACTTTTTATCACCTAACATTCAGAGCCACAAAAATACTCCTCAAATAATCCAACAAGGAATAAAGGTTGTGATACAAATAAAAACACAATTTAAATTTAATAAAAAAAAAATCCCTAAAATCCAAGTGGGCTTTTTACCATTACACCCTCTTCCCATTTCTTCTTCCCCATATAATATAAAAATATAGAATGTCAAAAGTTTTACTGCCCTTTATGGACATTTAAAACCCCAAAAAAGAAATCAACTGTTACATCCACCTTTGCCATTCTTCCCTCTTTCTGCCCCAACAGAAGATCCCTACTTTTCCTTTTCCTGCATTCCCCATCCTATCCTCTCGTCAAACCAATCAAATTTAATTAGACTTTCACCGTCAACCCTGTCAGATTATACACACAGAAGTGTACATATACTTTTCCCTATGACAATTTTACCCCCACTTGCTAAACTTTCACTCCAAAATTGTGGGTCGAAAATCCATTCCACCTACCTTTTTCCCGTTGCATCTTCCATTTCTTCTCCGAGGGTGCCTGCAAATTCTCATTTCCTTGGGCAAGAATCAAGCTTTTCCTTCCTTTGCTCACAATCCCAACCACCAAAAGTGCTTTCAGCTTCTTTTTCCAGTTTTCAGTCTGCCGGTTTTATGGGGGCTGCAATGTAGCACCAAGGGATAACTGTTCTACTCACCGGCGGGTTGTTTCTTCTGTTCTGCCGGTTTTACCTGAACCACGGTCGGAACAGCAGCATGTACATAAGCGAATCCTCCAGGTACAACTTGGTGTGGCCCAGATGACGGTGCAGCAGTAAACTGAGTATGCATAAGAGTCTGCGAGGATATGTTACCGCCTTTCATGTTGTTAGCAGCTGCAGCAGCAGCCGCCTTTGCAGGATCGTTGGTGCTGGTATTTGAATGCGTAACAGGAGGGCAGAGTGACAACTTCCCACTCGAAGAAGTTCCTGATGAGCCTTGTGACTGCTGCTGTTGCTCAGGTCGGCGCTTAGAAGCATGATAATACCCGCTTGAAGGAGATTGAGTAGAGGTGCTACTATTGGAATGTGAAGCTTGAGGCTGCATGTAGGCATTAGAGAAGAACAGCGGTTGTTGAATCGATTGCTTATATAACTGTTGTTCCTGTTGCTGTTGGTGCTGATGTTGATGTTGCTGATGCTGTTGGTGCTGATGTTGCTGATGCTGATGCTGTTGCTGCAATTGTGGCTTAGTACTAGCGCTCGAAGAGGTAATATGGGTGTTGCCTAGGATTGAAGGGACATTCCTCCCGCCAACAGGAGACGACTTCTGACTGGGCACTGATGGTGAGTTCTTGGCCTGCTGAGATGACAAAGAAGATATTTGGCCAGCTTTATTTCCTGTGGAAGTCGAAGTAGTTGTCCTGGGGCTTCCACCAGCACTTCTAGACATTGATGACGTTGTGGTTGTGGGAGAACCAACCATTACAGGAGGAGATGGAGACTGATTGCTACTGGCAGGCTGTAACCCTTGAGATTGGGTTGAAGCCTTGGTGTTTGCCGCAAAAGAAATCTGTGTGTGGCTTTGCTGTGTCCGCCCATGCTTTTGAGGAAGGTTTTTGAGGGACGAAGAGGTTGACGAGGCCATAGACGGTGAAGGAACTTGGGAAGTGGTTATCCTTGCAGAATTCTTCCACTGAGGAGATTGAGCTGGACTGGTGCTGCTTTGGACAAGGTTTTGGGGGAATGATGATAGAGCATTAGGAAACTTTGCAGCCATAGAAGAGGTTGAAGGGAGGTGATCAGAGTACACACTGCCACCATTACTCGTTGGCGTTTTGTTACGAGCTGGAGCCACAGCAACCAGCAATCTGCTGCGCTGCAACCTCAGACCCGAGTGGCAGTTCGTATGTCAGTGCACGCTGAGGCCTTTAACTGACTCCTTAACTGCTCTTGCTGAACTATCAATCACATTGTTGCCCGGTATTGTAGAACCAGATGTATCGGTCAAATCTGCCCTGGAGAAAGCAATAGAGTGCCCAACATTTGATGAAGATTTCCCAGCCATGGCCTTTCTTTCCTCTTCCACATTAGAGGAATCCCCTCCTCCGGTTTTCCCTTCTTCCGGACCTCGATAATTCTTTTTCTGTTGTGCAGCTTGGGCAGCCACGGCAACAGCCATATATTGATGATAACTGTGCCTAGTAACATCTGGAAAGCTCTGTAGAATTGTATGATTCATCGATGTTATGTCAATGCCAGGAGAAACGGTGGCACCATTTAAGGAAGCAAAAGACATGGCAAAAGCTTGGGATGCTTCAACCCCAGCCTTTGAGCCCTGTTGCTGTTGCTGCTGCTTCTTTTCACTACCACTAGAACCTGTTGCACCACTGGCACTTCCAACCGAAGGAGGTGTCATCAAAGCAAAGTTTGGCGGATGCATTGGCATTGCAAAATTCTGACCATAAATACTCATGTTCGCACGAGAGACACGACTATCAGCAGTTGACGGGCTGTCTTCGCCACCCATTTCAGGCTCAAGTTGGCGCGAAACATGCAGGTTCTGCTGCTGCTGCAGCTGTGTTGCTTGCGAAGGATGGTTTTTTGAGGAAGGAAAGCCTTGCAAGCTTCCACTGCCACCATTGACAACACTTTGATGTGGCCTTTGCTGCTGATTTTGCAAATGCTTCTGGGACGACGAAGAACCACTTGAAATAGTAGTGTTTGGGTGACCTTGTTGACTTTGCTGTGATTGAGATGGCAGTGGTGGTTGTTGCTGTTGTTGCTGCTGCTGTTGTAGTTGAGACGGATGGAGCATTTGAGAAGAATAGAAAGACCCGTTAAAATAAGGCATTGCCTGAGCATGGGGTCCTCTGTATGCCGCCTGTGCACCTACATGAGCTGGCATTGGAAATGGATATGCATTGTTCTGCAAAATCGCCAAATACTGGGGTTCATTTCCAGCCATATTTGGGTAGTTGAAACTCAGTGCTGGAGCTACAGCAGCGGTTGCAGCTGTCGCACTCAATGAAGCAGAGTTAGATGCACTGGATGAAGCTGCACCACCAGCATTAGAAGACTTCACAGACCCAGGTCGGACAGGAGCGGCAGCGGCCTGTTGCTGGCTCAATGGGAAAATGAAAGCAGGACCATGCTGAAATTTTCAATAAAAGAAAACGCATCAATATTCAAACCCCCGTGACAATATCATTTAACAAATGTAACAAACAGTATCAAAACGAGAAACGTACCAATATATTACTAGGTGGCCCGGGAGGTAGAGCTTGCTGGAGCACGATTTGCTTTCTCTGCACAGCATCCACAAGGTTTGCTGCTTGTGAAGTTTTTTCCTTTGCAGATTGAGCAGGAAACATAGCAATCCCCTGCCCCTTGTCCTGTGCAGGATTCACCCCTCTCCCTGGAACATTGCCAAGCAATTCTGGAGGTAATACATTGGGATTGCTATGCTTGGCTCCTCCATACAGAGATCCCGAACCAGCTGCTACCGGCCAGAAAGGATTCATCCTTGAGATTTGCTGGTGATAGTATATATTCCTTGCAATGTACCAATGGGTTGTGCACCTCTTTGGCCGAGGTTGATTAAAAAACAAATGCGGCGGCTGCACCAGTTGAAAATTCCATTGGAAAACAAAAAAGCAACAGAGCTCCACTTTAGTTTCACGAGGAGGGAAAAAAAAAAGTTGTTCATAAAATAACAAAAAATTACATACTTGTATCGGAGCTGAAGAAACGGAGCTCCCATCCATGGATACAACTCCTGGTAAGGGCGCCATATATCTGCTCATGAGAACACATCCATTCCCCCAAAATAAGTACATCTCAAAACCAAAGATGAAGGCTAATGACCAAGAAAATGGCAAAAGAACAGATAACATAACAACCGAAGAGCGTACCCCATCGGAGGAAGCCCGCCCGGCCAGCCCGCCACAGACATCGGCAAAGGTACAGAACCCGATTGCACTGAAGAATCAGAAGACCAAATCACTGACTGACCAACCCAAATGAAGGAGGCAGAGAGAGAGAGAGAGAGAGAGAGAGACTAAATTACCAGTTTTCTCAGTGTTTTGCTTAGCAACATTATGGGGCAGCTTGTTTCCACTAAAACTCTCAGTCTTCTCCAAATCAAGCTGCAGATCAAAATTCCTTTCTTTCCCACCAACAACGGAAGAAGTCTGCTTTTTCAAATCAGCTGCTTCTGCTTCTTCCACAGCTGCTTTTGACTTCTCAGTTTCCAAATTTAAAGGCTGCACTTCTTCCTTGTTGCCAATTTTCAGAGCTTTGCTGTCATCCTCTCTGCTCACAGCTTTTAAGTCCTGCAAACCAAACAGTAATACACACATTAAACTAAAAATCTTCAAAAACCAAAAATTATAACACCAAAATATGCAAATGGCAGAGGTGGTCCCCACTCACCGTTTCTGTATCTACGACCGCAGGCTTAGGATCTACGGAGATAAAATCAACTTCACCATCCCTTTCTGGAGGAGCCTATAATTATATACACATCAACAACCAAAATATTTCAATATTAATATTTTATCCTTTAAAAAATAGAAAGAAATAAAAAGATGAATAATTTATCCTTTAAAAAATAGAAATAAAAAGAAAGAAAATTTGATGATCCTCACCATCAGATCTATCTGGAACTTTTCTTCTCGGTGGTTTTCAACTTCTGGGATTGTTAAACTCCTAGATAAAAACCCACGAACAGAAAATTAGAAAATTCAAAGCTTTTTGTATCCGAAAAAAAAAATCTTTGATGCTCACGGTTTGGTCAAGGTGATTTCTTCACGTTTATCATCCAATCTGATGGCAGTGGATTCCTTCTTGGGAGATTGAAGTTCCACTTTGCTCGTTCTAACATTTCTACTCTCCGATTCGTCGTTCGCTGGCCTTGAATTTGACACGGCGTTGCTCTCCGGCTTAATTGCCTCTGGCTGAGCCTCCATTGATGCCGGAGCAGCTGGAACAGCTTGAGAGTCGGGCAAATCGTACGCAAAGCCACCATTTTCAGCTGCAGATCCTGGGTTTTTCTCCAAATTTGGAGAGGAAGTCTCAACCTTCGAAGGCTGATCAGCCACCACTTTGGCCGTAGACGAAACGGGACTGTTTTGAACTGCAAAAATTGATGGGTTCTCGTCTTCACACTTCACGGGTCGCGGTCTTTTCCTCTTGGATGCTGCGGATTCAAACAAAGACACCAAATTTTCATCAGTCACCAAAAAAACAAAGAACCCAGTTCCGTTTGCTCACCGAAAAACTGATTCAATCCCTTTTTCTCAGTCTCTCAGCAACCAAACGGAGCATTTTGGGTACCCAGAAAGAAATGAACAAAACCGAAAGCTCAGTGAACTTATAGTACCCACCGGCGGCGGACATGGAAGTGACAGAGAAGCAAGAATTCTGAGGGAAAGGCGACGTCAGCTGAGGAACCACACAAGGCGAGTTCGAGATCGGCGACGAAACTCTCGATTTGGCGTCGCTGGTAAATTTGTTGTTGGTTTCTCTGGATTCGAACTTAATCGAATCGGTGGGTGTAATTTCTTGCTTTGTCGGCCCTTGCGGCTGCCTCTTCATCCCGTACAACACCTCCGCGACCTCTATTTCTATCTCGTCCTGATTAGACGACGCCGTCTTGGTCGACAAGGACATCTTCGGCGGCCGAAGTTTGGGTCCGTTTGGCTTCTGCAACAAAAAAAAATGTCACTAAATGTTAGAAATGAAAATAAGCAAAAAAAAAAACCCAAAACAGAGAAATGAATCGAATTTGATGGAATTGAAGACCCACCAGCCTCTTCCGGACCGCCGAGGCGTGGGAAGAAGAAGGTGAAGTCGGAGCCGGCGTCGACGATGACACGCTCGGCCGAACAGGGGACGTCGAAGCCTGGGGGTGAATTTGGTCTCCGACAACACCGCAACTAGAAGGCCATTCGTTAGACCTCTTCGTCGACGCTGAAAAACGACAGGAAGAAGAACATCAGTATCCTGGAATCCATTAAAATCAAACGTATGGCAGCTTTTTCTCCCTTAAATCACTTCATTTCTGCTCTACCTGACCGTGCTTTTCGGGGCACCGAAACGCCAATCATCTCGTCGGTGACCTTCAACGCCGTGAGCGGTCTGAAATGCTTGTTGCTATTAAGATTATGAACTGGCGAGAAACTCTTCCGGTGATTTATCATAGAAGATGACAGAGATGCCGTTGACGACGGGTGGTTCGGCGGAAGCATCCGAATCGAGGACCCACCGCCGCCGACTCCACTTCCACCTCCGTCTTCGTCCTCGTCCTCATCTTCGTCGTTCACACTCTCCTCCGAACTATCATCGCGGCTGTCTTCTCTATTGCTTCCGTGCATTAACCTCTCGCCTCTCCGCCTCTTGCTCCGGCTCAACCGATCCCTATCGCGATCTCGGTCTCTTTCTCGATCCCGATCTCGATCTCGGTCCTTCTTCCGATCTCTGAGCCTCGATGTCTCTTGTAACTCCACCGGACCATCGTCCTCTGCAAAAAAACAAAAAAATCGAAGAAAAAAAAACCATTAAAACGAATCGAAAACCAGCAGCTGGGTATTGCTAAAAGGGGTTAGATCTGGTAGGAGCCGCACCTGGGGAGTCTCTGAGGTTACTACTTCTGTGTCTCCGCCGTGACAGGCCATTTGGGGCCGCCATAGCTGATCTTCTCGCATCCCTATTCCTATCCATATCTAATAATATTAACTACAGACAAATCAGCTACACACAGGACTCTAATCCCATCTCTCATCACCGGAAACCCACCATAATTCACCGGATAATTTAGTCAAACCCGCCGGGCCTGATTTGTATGCTCCGACTCCCAACCCCGTCAACGACGATATCTCTCACAAGGCTATTCCCACACCACCCAAAGATCTCAGCTTTCGCTTATCATCTTCCACCTCTCACTGCCTCTCTCTCTCTATCTCTCTCTCTCTCTGTTTCTCTCTATTTCCAACTCTGTCTCCTTTTTGTGCTGTCTATCAGTCTATCTCATCCAGACTCCGCTATTTCACTTGGAGCGAAACCCACTCGCAAGCCTCATCGACGGCCACGATTCACCTGCTGCATCACATCCTTCAATCTCCACCCTACATTCCGAGATACATCCTGCGGCTCATTTCCACCTAAGCTGACATGGCAAAATCCTCGCCGTCCACACCCCTGGCCCAACCTTTTCTGTCTGGTGCCGCCACGTGTCAGATTTTTTAATTTTTTCTTCCTACGCAAGCTTCCATGTTTACTCAATCACTACGATTCGGTACTTTTATACTATAAAAATCGTTAAACAAATCAATAAAATACCACTAATTAATGTATCAATAAAAGATTATATTATTTTAATATTTTTAATTATTTTATTCCACTCAAAAGAAGAACACCGTAGCCCACCAATCCAATCAGGGTGTTTACTTAAATTAAAAATAGCATCCCCAGAAATTAGCCTAATCAACGTCATTAACCGGCTATTCCCGGTCATAGAGACCTCGGCAAAAGCAACATGACGATAACAAGGTATTTGCATGACCCCAAATAATGGAGTGTGTTTTTACTCACCAGCCTCATGTTGTGCATGTTTACAACTTACTTATTATCATTATATGTGTTTGAATTTTAAGATTTATGTATATCGATTACAAGAATTTTGAAATTTAAATTTAACGATAGTCAACATACATCATAATTTAGAGTGGTGAGCAAAGATACTATCAGATAATATCGATCAAACCGGTCAAATTCATTGTTTACGGTCCACATTTTCTTTTTGTTTTCCATTTTTCCGCCCTTTCTTTATATATTTTTGTTCAATTAATTGCGGATGATGGCAAAATTCTTAAACAATTTCCGTAAATTGAAAACGTAGGCCCCACCTGAATGGGAGCCAGTCGCGCATTCCGCGGTCCAGATCTTCCCGTAACCAGTAACGCGAAGTTTACTAGCCGTCGGATACTTTTCTGACGTGGCGATAAGTAAATAATCAAAGATATCCCAAAACCCAGATTCGTCCTAGCTGGCACCCAACTAAAAGAGCTCGTGCGCGTAGATCAGTGCGCCTCATCTGGACCGTAGGATCCAGTCCAACCAACGGCAGATATAGGAGCATGAGCGAGGGAAGGTTTCACCGTCACGGAACTTCTGAGAAGTGTAGGTCCCGCGTTAGCTGCCGATCTAGAAATAATTTCCTCGCGTTGGCCTATTGTCACGCTCGTGGGATATGGCAGCCTAGTCTGACGTGTACTGGGGCCCAGCAATTAAAAAATAAAATAATATCAAAATACTTTTTCTCTTTTATTTTTTCGCGCGGTCAAATTTTACAGCGCAGTTAAAAAAAGGTAAAACTCATATAAATAAATAAATTCGTTTTTCCGGCTCTAACTCCACGCGCTTATGGCGGAGTTCACATTCTACGTGTCCCCCCATTATTTCGCCTCGATTGGCTACTTTTCTACGCTCACAAGATGGTAAATATCTTTTTGCTCGGATCCTTCCGATATTCTCACCTGCCTGTCACATTCATGTTTTGGCCGTAGGGCACAGCTGGGTAGGTTAATTCATGCTCCACAGAAAAAATATAAAAAAAGTATAATACGGGGGACAAGCGTGCCACGTCAAACTGGGCCCCGCCCGAAAATGGTTGACCCACCACAATGGATCCCCTTTCTCCAGCTTTTGTCGCTTTGCGGGGTCTTTGGGTTTTCGTCCCCTCGCTATCGTCAAGGTCCAGATGGTGTGCCACGTGTCGGGGAAACGTGCTATTGTCCTACGTGGCATTGTTTATGGCCGCTTACGTAAAACCCTAGCCGTCAACAGCACCAAAACACACATAAATTGCACAAACATTAGTTGCGTTTAGACTAACCTCACCAGTCAGTAGTCACCCCCCATTAATTGATAAATAATTAATTAATCCAAATGGATTTGATTGACATAATTATTAATTCTATAATATTAATTATAGAATCTCATTTGGTAACATAATAGAGTATAATAATGTGACAACCAAAATAAGAATAAACAATTAAATGCATAATTGCATTTAAGCATTTGCAATCTATGGCCTTTTCCGACTCGGGTGCATATATAAAAGGGCAATTTGTTAATCGGGCAAAGTTGTGAGAAAAATAAAATTATGAAGTTAGAATTAGACCCAGCAAATAAGTTGTGTTTGTTTTAGTTGTGTCATTTTCATGTTATATATGTTATAATAACGGATTGTATTGTGTTAAACTCCGTTATCTCAAGTTCTCAACAAATTTTTAACAGATGACCCAATAAGGACCTGATTTTTTAACGTGTCGCGTCTTTTTGTGTCAGGCTAATGAGTCATGCAAAAAATTGTCATATCTAATATCTAGATGTGGCAAATAATATCTTATTAAGTTTTTAACAAGTGATCCAATAATAACCCGACTCGTTAATAAATACCCCAAAACTACCAATTATTTTTGTATCATTTCGCATCAGGTTAACTGGTTATACAAAAATTTATCAGACTTAATTAGAATGTATCCAAAAAAATGGTTATATTTCGCAATAATTTTGAAGTTGTAAAATCAAAATTTTCCAGTTATACGGGGAAAATGACAAGGGGTCTACTTTGACCCATGGACAATTAAGCATGAATTATGGATGTCTCATTCGTGAAAGTAAAATGTAAAACATAATTTAAAGTGGGTCAAATGCCATTACGTGGGGTGATCTATCCCTTCCCCAATCTATATCCAATTGATTGGCATTTTCTGACTTGATTGTGCTAGTTAGGCTTGGTGGTCGCCGGAAAGGAATCCTTCGGATTCCTTCTACATAATCATTCATATCAAACAATCTAGATCTTTGAAATTTAATTAAACGGTTACAAACACGTGCTCACTCTAAAATTTAATAACTTTAGCCGTTGAATCAAATTTCAATGATCCAAATTGTTTGATGATGAGGATTAGGTGGAAGAAATCCGGAGATGATCCCTTTCCGTGGTTGCTTGTTTGCAATGAAGGTGATATCAAGTTTGAGAGAAGTTAGGGAGTTTGGATAGTTAGACTGATTACTGTTACTTTTTAAAATGGCATAGTTTGATAGAATAAGCGTTTCTCTTGATATCTATTTTTTCATTTTCGTTTCATAATATGTGTTGTATGAATTGAGTAAATGAACACACGTCAAAAACGCTGATGGAAAGTCAAATTTTCTGTTTATTATTTAAACAATGCGTGTATCGAACATAACATGATTAATGAACAAATCAAATTAATGTCAAGTCATTTAACATGATTAGCTAAATAAACGAAGTTTGAGCTTACTTGTATTTTGCATGAATTCGAAACGGAATAACACGATGTGACACAAGATGTCACTACTTGTCAATTACCACCTCTACATAGTGCATGTGAAAGTATAAGTTTGCACAATCATGGGCATTAACACATAATTGAGTGATTTAAGTGGTAAAAGATGAGTTCATCGCAATGTAAGATGTAGTTTATCACAATGGTAACATGGCGTCCTTTGGTTAATTTGTGTCATCACTTCAACAAAAGTGTTTTTTTGGAGATAAGAATCGGGCGAAATTACAAATATAGCGTTTTTGGTATACATGTTTAAAATGTAGGTTTTTTTTTTTTTTTTTTTTTTTTTTTTTTTAAATTGAGAGATCGGACCCCTAACTTATCATAAAACTATTTCATTATTTCACTTCCTTCGACGCTTGAGTTAACCCAATAAATTTATTGAAAATATAGTTTGTTTACTTGCTTAGAGTGAGACGAATCTAAAGTAAAAAACTGAAATGATTTGAAGAGAATCGTGTGCAAATTAGCATATAGAGAAAACCTAATTTACCAACCGAAATCACACATTTTCTTGTCCCCAGTACAATCTATCGCATAACGAAATAGAATGACATGCAAAACAAAACTCCCGGAAAGAGACTATAAACCACACACCAAACTCAAAACTAATATTATTTTTTTCCATTTATTAACAACAGCAACCAAGTCTTATTTCACTAAGTGAGGTCGGTTGAATGAATCATAGAACGCCAATGCACTTGGTTTTGCACTATGTCTTTCGTTAGCTCCAAATACTCTATATCTTTTTTAAAGTCTCTTTCCAAGTCTTCGTAGGTCTTTCTCTACCCCTTTTGCTCTGAGCCTCCGTCTCATAGTCACATCTTCTAATCAAAACATCAATAGGTCTTCAGTTCACGTGTTTAAACCATCTTAACCGATTTTCTCTCATCTTATCTTCAATTGTAGTCACCCCTGCTTTACCTCGAATATCCTCGTTTTTAATCCTATACTTTCTCGTGTGCCCACATCTTCAACAAAGCATTCTCATCTCCGCTATACATTTTGTCTACGTGTTAATTTTTGACCATCCAACATTCCGTGTCATAAAGCATTGCTAGCCTTATTGTCATCCTATAAAAATTTCCCTTGAACTTTAGTGACATACGACAATCGCACAACTCATCTGATGTACTCTTCCACTTCATCCATCCAACTTGTATTCTATGGTTGAGATCTTCATCTAATTCTTCGTTCTTTCGCAAGATACATCTAAGATAGCGAAAGCGTTCACTCTTTGGTACTTCGTGATCTTCAATCCTCACTCCTATCTCATTTAGACCCCATCTACTGAACTTGCACTCTATATACTCTGTCTTTGACCTACTTAGGCAAAGACCTTTTTAAATTCCAACTTTTCCCGCCAAAGGTTAAGCTTCACATTTACTTCCTCTTACGTTTCATCTATCAACATTATATCATATGTGAAAAGCATATACTAAGGGATATCATCTTAAGTATGTCCCATTAACTCGTCCATTACCAATACAAAATGGTAACTTAAAGCTGAGCCTTGGTGTAACCTTATTGTTATAGGAAAGCGCAGTTTATCCTTCATGAGTTCATAATGTAGTCCTTGCTCCATCATACATATACTTTATTGCTTGGATATATGATACTCGTCCAACTTTCTT